ACCTTTTTTATAGCCGAGTAGTATTCCTATGTGTACACGTACCCCTTTTTTTTCTTTTTCCATCCATGGTGGATGGATGTGTAGGTTGTTTGCATTCCTTAGCTACTGGGAACAGGACTGCAGTAAAATTGGGGGCACAGATCTTTCTTCCACAGACTTAACTTCCTTTCCCTTCGATGTACACCAGGTAGTGGGATTGCTTGACTGGATGGTGGCTGTAGTTTCTGTTTATTGAGCAACTTCCTTGCTGCTTTGCTAGATCTTCATTCCCACCCACAGAGTGCCAAGTGTTCCCTCCCCTCCACATCATCTCTTGGTATCCCATTGTGGTTTTGCTTTGTATCTCTCTGAGTTTAGTGATCAGCACTTTTGTCCAGTATTTCACAGTATCTGTAGTTCCCCCTGTGCCGTGGAATAGAACCAGTGAGATGTCTTCCTTTAAGAATGTCAATTTCTATCTATGGCCATTTTTAATCTGACTTACTTATTGTTGTTTTTTGCTTTTGCTGTTAGTTGTGTTTTATATTGACTTTACTAACTGCTATGCCAGATGTTGGCTGGCACATATTGTTCCCTTTGGTGTGCAGAAGCTCTTTAATTTGTGAAATCCCATTTGTCCGCTAGTTGGCTTGGTATGCTGTGCTCTTGGGATCTGATCTAAGAAATCCTTGCCCGTAGCACTGTCCGGAAGCAGTTCCCCTGTGTTTTCTTCTAATTGTTTCAAAGGCTCAGGTCTTAGATTTCAGTCTTTCTTCTGTTTTGATTTCTTTTTTAATACCAATATGAATCACCCACAGCATTGATGAGTATGTTGTGTGCTCGTTATGACCAGGTTTTCTTCCATGTTCTTTTCATTTAATCAATTTGTTCTTCCCAAAAGTGATAGAGTTAGGTTCTGTGGTTAAGCACTGTCTTGCAGTTGAGGATCCAGAGGCAGCGTTCCACAAATGATGAGTCCGTTTGGTTTGTAGCACTTCGTAAGTCTAGTGCTTCTAGACTGCCTAGATAACCTGATGTGAAGTCCCCAGCTCCTATTGTTGTGGGGTCTCTACCTCCCTTTAGAACCAATATTGTTTATTCCATGCTTAGGTGGTGTTGTTTTCAGGTGCATGTATGTATTTCAGTTGTTAGATGCTCTTTCTGACAGATTCTTTTATCCTGATGTAATGTGTGTCTGAAATGGGCTTCTTCCAGGCAGTATCTTGAGTGTTGGTCTTTATCCATTCAGCCAGTCGGTATCCTTTAGTGGAGAATTTAACCCATTTATATCCTAGGTTCTTATTAACAGATACCAACTTATGTCTACCTGGGTACTTTTTTAGGTACAAGTATTTTCAGTCATCTTGAGTATGAGCTAGGAATGGAGTAGCTGAGTCCGACAGTAACTCTTCATATCTCCATTTGGGGACAACTGCTTGAACACTACAGTGGCTGCACCATTTCACACTCTCACCATCAATGGGTGAGGTCTGTTTGTCCATATCCTTTATAACTCTGGTTCCTCCCCATTGTTTAAACTCCTGCCACTCAAGTAGGGGAGAGTTGGTTCACACTGTGGCTTCCATTTGCTTTTCCCTGGGTCCAGATGATGTTGAGCAACTTTTTCTGGGCTTATCTTAGAAGAGATGCACATTTGAATATTTGACTCCTGGTTGGTTGAGTTGTTCATTTTCCTATTATTCAGTTGTAAGTGTTCCTTATATTTTGTGGACAGAGGATCTTGTTAGATACATGATTTTAAAATATTTTTTCTGAATCTGTGTGATGTTTTTCACATTGAAAATGTGTTTTGGCCAATGCTGCAGCTTAAGGCTAATCTCCATCTGCTGCGTCGGCACCCCGGGTTCTAGTCCCGTCGGGGTGCCGGATTCTGTCCCGGTTGCCCCTCTTCCAGTCCAGTTCTCTGCTGTGGCCCGGGAGTGCAGTGGAGGATGGCCAAAGTGCTTGGGTCCTGCACCTACATGGGAGACCAGGAGAAGCACCTGGCTCCTGGCTTCAGATCAGCACGTTACGCTGGCCGCAGCGGCCATTGGAGGGTGAACCAATGGTAAAGGAAGACCTTTCTCTCTGTCTCTCTCACTCTCACTGTCCAGTCTGCATGTCAGAAAAAAAAGAAAATGTGTTTTTTGAATCACAAATGTTTGAAATTTGGAGAAATTACCTTATATCTTTTTATTATCTATCATAGTTGTGATGCACTCATAATCTGCGAGTCACTCCAAGTTAGAAACATTTTGTAAATTGTCTTCCATGATTTATATTTTGACTCAACATTTATGTTTTTGATGCTTTATTTTAGGTTTCATTTTAGAATTCATGAGGTGCAAAACTAAATGAGAGGTGTGGAGGCTCATTTTCTGTCATGGTCATTGGATGTTTAGAGCATCATTTGCTGTGTTTGTCGTCTGCCCAGGATGTTCCCACCACCAGGGAAATACAGAAGACTTTCCAGGTCCAGATGTCTGTCTGCCTGTCCTGCTATGTGAACTTGAGGCTAGCACACTGGGGAGGCAGCCTGGGCAGAGCGCTTTCTGGTGCACACATGTCTGTTGGGCCTACTTAAGTTTACCTGTAGGCAGGGCATCTGGGTGCAGCTTCATTTTCAAGGGAGTCCCAGGGTTTCTGGCTTCTCCTTGTGTTAAACCTGGCTCTGCTGCTGAGTAGACTGCAGAGAGCAGGGCCTCTAGCCTCAGTGGGGACCTCACATGCCCATGTCACTGAGTGGTCAGGACACAGTGAGAGCGTGCAAAGATAGAGGCCTGCAGGGGCTCAGCCCCTCAGCTGTTCATACTCACCTCTCCCCACAACAGCCCAGGGCTTGCATCTCTGGCCTCTGCCCGCTCTGTCCACTGTCCTGGGGCAGCCTGTCTCTCTAGGACCCTACAGTTCATCAGGGCATCAGGCTGCACCACTGGACATGGTGAGATGACCCTTAGCTCAGCCTCCTGGGGGTGGGCTCCAGCTATTAGACCCAGGACCTGGAACTAACATGACCATGAGCTCATGACCTTGAGATGGGGACATCGTCTGTCCTGAGTGGTGGACACCCCACTCTGTGCCCTCCCAGTGCTGGGGAGCACAGAATCCCTGGGGCCCTCCCTGCCAAGGCAGCCAAACGAGCTGCCTGGCACTCTGCAGGACAGGTGCACCCAGTGCCACCCACTCCCTCCAGTTGGCCTGACCTGGGTTCCAGGTTCCAGGTGTGCAGGGTGCACAGGCAGCAGGTGATCTGGGACATTATCCAGAGGGACAGTCATGGGCCAGTGCTGTCAGTGGGTGTGATCCAGGCCATTCCCAGGAACACACACAGGTCAGCATTCCAGTGCCCCAGCTTCCTCCTCCACAGGCATCCCTCAGCCCTAGTGGATCAGCTGAGAAGCCTGTTAAGTAAATCCCTGTGGCTATGATGTCTTGGAGAAAGTCCTACCCTTCCCACTCCTTCCTGGCCTGCTGTACTGCCCTCTTGTTTGCCCACAGGGTCATCGGGGCCTGACAGTCTGGGCTTACGGTGGGGAGGGAGTCCTCATGTGGGATCAGCACAGCCGTGACCTGGGTGGGGCCTCGCTCTCTGGGGGTTCCTCATCTGCAAATGGGAGTGACAGCAGTGCCTCCCCATGGCTGAGACGTGGTCACCCGTGTGCTTGGCCAGGGGCTGGGAAATCCCAGGAGCTCAGGAAAGAGCAGTTACTGTGCTTGGGGACATCCTCTGTGTCTCCATGTTCCCAGCCAAGACCCACCCATGTCACCTGCACACCAGGCAGTCTGGGGCACATGGGGTCCCAGACAAGGCCCCCCTGTCTCCTGAGCAGTGAGCAAATCCCTGCTCGGATCCTTCTGCCAGTGACCCATTGTTGAGTGCAGGGACAGAGACTGTGATGGCTTCTGTGTGTGTGTGTGGCCCCAGGACCCAAACTGTGCCTTCAGTGTAAGACCCTTTCCCTTTCTTGTGTACTCCTCATACTGGAAGCAGGGGCCCAATGTGTGCAGGGAGGTGCAGAGCATCGCATTCCCTGTGCCGGTGATGGCTGTGGCAGGGCTGCCTTCCCATCTCACAGATGAGGACACTGAGGCTGCAGGGAGAACACCCACTGCAGGTCAGATCTGTGACCTCAGAGTCCATGTCCCTGATGAGGAGGCACTGCCACAGCCGTGCAAGCGTCTCCCTGTTCTTTGCTTTCCTTGGCTGTCCCAGCACTTGGTGCTCTTTATCCAAGCGGGGAACCCTGGCTCTGCCCCTGGGGAGGTGCCCATGTCCTCTCCAGAGGCTCCAGGTCCCTGGCATTGGGGCCATGGTGCAGGGAGAGTGGGGTGGGGAGGGCACAGTATGGGGAGTTCGCATGGTGTGAATTGCACATTTCGCAGTGGGTAATCAATTAAATTTTATTTTGGTAAAGCGACAATAAGGTGGAGACAAGGAACACAATGGGGAGGATTAAAGAGAAATACAGGAACACCGGGGGGGAAAGGACAGGTGTGGCACTGGGGCTGCAGCAGAAGGGACTTGCGGAGCTGGGGCTGAGGCCGGGGCCAGTGCTGTGTCTGGTGCTTCTGCAGTTTCCTTGGCTGCAGCTGGGGACACAGCTGTCCCCCACTCATCTTTGGAGGGCCATGACTGCTCCAGTGGGGTTGTTGCTTGAAGGTCATGGCTCTGCTCTGCCCCCTGTCAGGTCAGGTTCCAGGCCCAGCCTTGAGCTTGCTTCCCATCTGGAACAGGCGAAGTCGTCGAGCCCCAGTGCCTCCACTGTGAGATGGGCATTTGCGGACCCCCTGGGCTCTATCTGGGCCTTTACCAAGATTAAGTGACTGAGGGGGCCCTCAGGTGGCTTGTGCGCCTGGGGGAATGCCCGATACATGAGCTTTGGAGTTGTGGGTGAGTTTGACCACTCCCCCACTACACACAGGTCATCAGTTTTAGTTGGCCTACGGTTGTCTGGGCTGCTTGAGATCCCCAGCCCGCTGTGCTGTGCCAGGTGCGAGGCTGCCCTGTCCTGGACCTGGGAGACAAGCAGAGAATGGCAGGTAAGAGGCAGTCCCTGGATCCCTCCACAGCCAGCAGCTCTGGGCCTCAGGCTGCCCCCGCCTCTTAACTCAGGCTCCCTCCTCCAAGGGTGAAGTGGACCATGTCCACCCACACCCACGGGCCTGTTGGCTCCAGGGGTCTCAGTGGTGTCCTGGTCAGCAGAGAGCTGCCCTGGCTGCCAGACTCACCTTGGCCTTTTTCTGCTTGAAGCTCCAGGAGCATCGGGGGTGAGGGCTGGCCCAGCGTCCCCACCACTGGCGAGGCGCCCACAGCAGGGTTTCTTGGGGCCTGGGCTTGGCATCGCGGGATACAACTCAGGAACATCTTCTGCGAGACTCTATCCAGGTGAGCTGGCTTAGACTCAACTCTGGAATGTTGGGGTGGTTGCTGGGGCACCCAGTTCTCTAGGTCATCACCAACAGTGAGGTCACTTCCTGTGGCTCCTAAGCTGAGCCCCCTCCTCACACAAGATATCCTCAGATTCTACTTGGGCACTGCCTATTCTACTTTTACCCCTACGCCATGTACCCACTGTCCACAGTTGCACCAATACAGGCAGCACCTGCCACAGGGCTGGCTTGGGCCCAGACAGTGCCACAGCTGGGCTTGGACCTGCTCTCTCTCTTTACAGTTTGAGCCTGCACAGTTCATCGTCCCTCTCTGGACATTCTCAGTCTCTCTTGTGGTTTCTGGGGATCATTCTAGCATGTGCTTGCAAGATGCCATCAGTTGTGTAGTGCCAAGGAACCCCTAGGCCTGGCGTCACCTGTACTGATGCACAAACACTCTAGATGTGAGATGGTTCCTAACCTGGGGTAGGGGTTTCTGGGAACTGGAGTAAAGCAGTTGGTATTGTCAGATTGAAGAGTGCCAGGCAGCTTGTGGGTAACACTTGCTGCATCCTGGGTCAAGTTGTCCATCACCAAGATCTGAGCAATGGTGGCAGCAGCACATCCAGGAGCACTTAGTCTTGAGGACACTTAGTCTACCTTATGGCACTCAGGTGTGGCTTGGGACCTGGCCATGCTGAGCTGCTGATGCAGAGAGCTGAGAGGTGCACGTTCACCTGCACTCCTGTTTGTCCAGCATCTCACGGGAATCAGGGCTGAGTCATTTGGGCAGTTTGATAAGTGTCTTTATCGTAGACAGATTGCCAGGACCGGAAGTTCAGCATCAGTTCAGAATTGTGGAGGAGAAAGGGACAGCCATTGCCAGGACGTCAGAATGCTGGTGTCAGGTTCTCCCCTGGGAGACAGAGGAGTGCAAAGGGAGAGGTCTGAGAACCCCTGAGCCTGGTCTCTGGGTTGCTGGGTCTGACCTTCCCTGCTTCACAGCATGGGGCCACTTTATTCAGGGTTAGAGACCTCTGCCTTCTATAGGTAGAAATATAGAGGGAATTTCATGCTTCTCAATGGATGACTGTGATGTTGGCTTTGCCTTCCCAGCACTTGAGGTACATCTGGGATTTTATTCTTCTTGCTCCCCCATCCCTAGAGGCTTTCATGTTTCACCAGTTTTGTGTACCTGTCCATAGGGGGAGGGGGAGACAGACACTTTTCTAAGCTGGAATCTGGACTTAAGCCATCCCCCAACTGACTCTTGTAACTTGACATCCCAAATAGGATAGAAAGCAGGCTTCCTGGGACCCTGATGCCCAGGGAAGTCGGGTGGTTCTAACAGGTGCTGCCTATCTCAGAGTGTCCAGAAAACCTAAACACCATCAGCTAAGGCTATTCCTCTTTATTGGTGGACACTGCCTACTGTGTTTCGTAAGCCATAACATGGAGAATCTACATGGGTAGAAAGATGTGGAGGCAGGCTGCTGGCTTGCTGCTGGCTCTCCTGTATATTCCAGGGACCCCAGTAGGATGAGGGACACTGACATGGGGGTGAGCGTGAAACCACAAAGCGCCCATCCATATGTCAGTGGCTAATTTAGAGCCTCGCCCATGTGCCTACAGCAAGCAGGAAGGACACTGGTGAGGAGTGGCCCAGGTGTCCCCAGATGGGAAGGGCTCAGCTCCCCTCAACAGAAGAAGTCCAATGGGTTACTGGCTCTGCATTCGGCCTCTGGATAAAATCCAAATCCGTGTGAAGCCCTTGGCTACCCTAGAGATAGGACAGTTGGAGAGATAGAGGATGGACACTGGAGTCACAAAATGAGCTGTTAAAGGAGTTTCAGTGAGAGCAGACAGAGAGAGGAGTGGAACCTCTGCCCTGTGGCCTGGTTTAAAAGTTCTGACTCCCACATTTCCTGAGCTCTGCATCCCACCTGGGAAGAGACTGGCTATGAAATCAGACGTTCCTGTCTAAGTCAGGATGGAGCAGCAGTGCATGTCTAAGGCATTGAAAGCTTCTCAGGGTGGGATTTGAAGCAGGAGGTTGGACACTGTGGGGTTACACACATCCCACATGGTGATGCTAAGGTTCCAGGCCTACCTCCACTCTGAGTCTAGCTTCTTGTGTATGTAGTCCTGGGGAGGCAGCACATGCTGTCTCAACTGGTTGGGTCCCTGCCACCCATGTGTCAGACCTCAGTTGAGTGCCCAGCCCCAGTAGTGGCATTTCAGGGGTGAATCAGCACATGTGTGATATCTGTGTCTATTTCCCAGAAATAATATTGTATAAAAGTCTGTAGAGGGAAATTGAGATGTGGGCTGCATATCATTGACAAAGTGGTAATGGATAGGTTTTGGTTTCCAAGATGGCTGGAGTCCCTAGGTTTTAGGCATAAGGTACAAATGACTTGGTGGAGACCCCAATTGTCTGGAAACCATCCAGTGAGACCCTACATATAATCAGTTAGCCTTTGCCAAGAAATTCATGAGAAGTGCTTAAAGGTCTGTTCCAAGTGCCTTAGCCTGTGTTAGAGCAGCCACAAAAAGGAATTAGGATTCAGCCCCTTTGAATTATCTATGGAAGGCCTTTCCCAATTGGGCTGGCCCCTTACCTGCCAAAGGTGGGAAATGAGAACAAGACAACACAATGAGGACTAGTGGCTGCTCTCATCTGATGTGCACCTCAGACCTAGTCTCACCACACAGGTAGGCCCCACCCCCTTGATTGTAAACTGAGCTCTCTTCAGGAGCAGTTTAACTCCTTCTGGGCAGGACCACACTTGGCGCTGTTTACCACTGATTGTTCTCCTAAACTTCTCCATGGGACTCCTTGCAGTCACCACAGCTGAGAGCAGGGAAGTTCCTTGTCTCTCCTGCACCCCGGATGGCTCCTTGGAGAGCCCCTGTCAGACCTCAGACTGCTGCTCACAGGGCGCCACGTTGAATGTCAGGTGAGGATGCCTCTAGACGCCTGCCCTGTTGCCCACAGCCTCTGGGGGCTACACCCGGTGTCTGAAGTCCTTTGTTGATGTTGAGTAGGAGAGTGTCTCTCCACCAGCCTGGGCCATGTCCAGGATCAACAAGAAGTAGTTACAAAAGCATGACTTCGTGCTTTCCCCCAGAGTGGGAGTGAAATGTCTCAGGGGGCACCTTGTAGCCAATGTGTAGGATTTGGGCGAAATGGGGAGGGGAGATGTGGAACAGGGGCAGGGATTGTAAACTGCCTAGAGCTTGTTTTCCTGATGTGCCCGGGAGCAGAATTTTTTACACTGAACTCAGAGTGGCTGGACCGCCACAAACCACCACCGAAGCAGCAAGAAGCCAGTTTGAGTCAGATCTTGCAGACCTGAGCTAGGCTTTCCTCACAGCGCGGTGCAGTTCTCCGCCAGGGGAGTAGACGGCCGCCATTTGCTGAACTGAGGAAGTATGAAGATTGGCCCGGGCGGAAGCAGGAGGGGCCCTCTGGTCTGTGCTGGCCTTGGCCATGCCCTTCGCCCTGCTGCAGAAGCCCAGGCAGACGATGGGGGTAGTTTCTTTGGGGGAACCCTTCTTCCCATGGCCTACTTTTCACTTCGTTATGTGGGGACGCCTGAAGCTAGTGGACCCTGACTGCGGACACCCGGATGTGCTGCCTCCCAGCGTCCCTGGCGAGTCCCGAATGGTCCACAGCAGCGGGTAACGGAAAGAGGAGGCCGCCATGACGATGGCGTCCTTTCCTCCCCCGGGACGCCATTTTGGAAACATTTTCTTCATCAGGCGTGCTTGGAGGTATCCGAAGCTTTCCCCCTAAATACTTTATTAGAAGTTTCTAACAGAGTCGGCATTTACAGCCCACACGCAGGCCCCCAAGCTGGGGCACTCCCCGCACCCCTCCCCGCATGGCCCGCAGATGAGGCTGGGATGCAGCTCCAGGTGGCTTCCTGGGCGGAGTCCCGCGGCTGCTGCTTGCATTGCTTTACCCTCAGCACCGCGGTCGATGGGGGCCTTTACACCCCAACCCGGCTTTGGGGACTGAGGTCATGGTTCTGGATTCCTGAAACTGCTGCTGCCTGCGGGGTCCCTGGAAATGTCAGTTGCCAGTGGCCTGCACCGATGCTGAAGCAGACGCCCCCTGGCGGTCGAAAGCTGGTGGCGGACTCTGGGCTCAGGACCTTTATGTTGTGTGCCCAGGGAGCATGGGGTTGCTCTCTCCTGTGCTCCTGGGCGCTGGAAGCCTCTTTTGGCATCCCAGACGCCGAAACCGCCATAGCGCCTTTGTGTCTGCAGTGCCCACGCCTGGCACCTGTCCCCGGCCTGCGCCACCCCCGGACCACTGGTAAGTGCTGGCCGACCTGCTGGGCTCTTCCTGCACAGTTGCGGTGGGGCAGAGCAGCAGCCACTTCCCTTCAGGGATTGCAGGGCCTTCTTCTCTGCAGGCAGGTGACCCCTGCTGGCTGGGAGAGAGGTGGGGTTTTCAGGTGCTGACCCCAGGCCTGTCTCTCCTGTGGCCAGGTGTGCAGGGAGGATTAAATGAGAGGCTGGCTGTCTGAGGAGGGGGCTGGGTCTAGAATGAGGCCCTGGGAGAGGGTGGGGCAAGGGCTCAGCCTGGATTCCAGAAAAGCTCTGGCCCCTCTCAGCAGCAAGCTGGATTGGGTGGGCGTTGCCTACTTTAAGGGAGGATCTGCTGTTCCCAGAGATGTGGGGACATGCAAGCAAAATGGGCACAGACGTTTAGAGTGGCAAGGAGGCCAATGCGTGGTCCATCAGACCTTCCATATTACAGAGGGTAAAGCAAGGCTGTGGGATGGAGGTGCTCTGTCTGGGTGAGAGCAGAAAGAGGCCTGCACCTGGTGGGCGTCTGGATAAACACCCCCCCCCCCCAGCAGAGCCTGGTTGGAAGGCCTCACTCCCCTCCTCTCTGGGCAGTGAGCTCTTCTTGGGAAGGGGCTGAATTAGAGCCTCTGAGGCCCACCTGCTCTGGGGCTCCTCCCTGGGAGGGTGGGGACAAGGAGAGGGGACTGCAGTTGGCTCTTTGTTTTTCTTAAAGCAATGGTAGACTTGACATTGAGTGCTGGGCCTATTTTGAATGAATAGACACAATGAAGTGTATTTCCCTGTAGACATGGGACACTATGAAATTGGTGATGAGCACTGACAGGGTGAGCTGACTGCCCTGATCTGGGGTCAGGCCATTTCATTCCCTTGGTGGCTCCTGACTCCTGGGGGAGGTCATGGTGTTGATGGTGGGCTTGGTGGAGGCCCTGGCTGCCCCTCAAGGGTGCATGTCTGGATCACAGCTACCTCTTCCCAGCGCCTTAGATTGAGCCTTCCACCTCCCCATTATGGTACTAAGGGAGGGCCTTCTCAGTTTGGATCCTACATACAAAAAGGAACCCTCTTTTTTTTTTTTTCCAAGTAGTCTGGAGCAGTTTAGGGGACAGTGTGCCACAGCACAGCAAGTGGACTTGACTTTGGAGCCCCCTTGCTGATCTTTTCTCAGCCCTGGCATTGCCCTACTTTCACTTTAGGGGTCCCCTTTCCTTTATAAGCCATGGAAGAGGGGAGCAGGAAGCATCTTTATTGTCTGTGTCAGGGCTGTGGTTGAACAGCTCGTGACAGGCAGAGGACTGGTTGCCAACAGGGCCCAGCCCTTTCAAGCTTTCATTTCTAAGTGAGGCCCTTTTGGTCTTATGGCTGAGGTCACGGTGGACTCAGTAGAGAATCCCAAAGTTTGTGTTGCTAGCAGCAGACATCTTTCTCTTTGTCATCTGGTAGGTGTGAATTGGTTCTTAGGTTCTCCAAGGCCTGTTGAAACACGAGGGTGTTTTCCTCCTATAGGTTCCCGGTTACAACTTGCGGTTTCAGTCTCATCTGAGTTGAAGTCTTGGCCCAGACGTGTGCTGGCTGAGGTGTTGTTGGCAGGACATTTTAGTATCCGTCCAGGTGAGTGGTGTTTTATTTGGGAATAAAAGTGGGGTGTGAGCATTGTGTTTTGTGGTTGGGACATCAGAGTATCAGAGTGCCTGGGTTTCATGTGTATCACCTTCCTGCTAAAGAGATCCTGGGGGTTAAGCTCAAATGCTTGGGTTACTGCCACCTGTCAGGGAGATCTGGGTGACTTCCTGGTTCTTGGCTCACCCCTGGTGCCATTGCATGTGTGTGGGGAGTGGATCAGTGGATGAATAAGCAACTGAACTCAAACACACGGAATGTTCCTTTGCCGGGAATCCATCTAATGGTTTCCCCTGACCGAGGACTGAATGCTGGTGTTGTCTGGCTTGCTCATTTCCCTAATGGTGTTTTAGACAATATGCACAAGACACAGGGAAGATGGACTAGAAACTACGAACTCAGTTGTGGGGAGCAACTCGGACTAGACTAAGTTACTGGAATTAAGACTTATTTTATGCATCTGCTCTCCCACAATATGGCGCTGGGAGAGGAGAAAACAGCTTCTACACAGCTGCCTCCAGTTCAACCAATAAACTGTGGGACCTGCTCCTGATTGGAGGAGAGCAGCGTACTCGGCGTTTGGGTAGCAGTGTTGGGATTGGCAGAGGAGGACTATAAAGGAGGAGAGAGACGGCATGCACCAGGAACATCTAAGGGGAACATCTAAGGGGAACACCTGTGCAGCCCCCGAGAACCGGCTGGTGGTGTGCCGCTCCCCTGCGGAAGTGGGGAATGTGGCAGGGGGAACCGCCCTTCCACGGAGGTGGAAGGGATGGTAGCCAACCCGGGAAGGACCAGCAGCCAACCCGGAAGGACCAACAGCCAACCCGGGAAGAACCAGCAGCAAACCCGGGGAGGGCCGAGCAGATGAAAGAAAGCGCAGGGTCTTGTGTCGTTCCTCCACGAAGACGGGGCGACATAATGGTGCCGTGACTCAGATATGAAGCCTAGGCAGGGTTTAGTGTCGTTCCTCCATGAAGAGGAGGAGCGACACTCAGTAGCTAGAGCCTATTTATTTAGAGACAGACCTGAGGGCCCACTACTAGCGAGGGTCGGGACACGTTCTGGTAGAGACTGGGGCTTATCTAGCCTGGGTACTTTTGGTTCGGGCTGGGCAGGGATTAGACAGAGCTGAGATGGTTTGCCTTGGCTTTTTCAACCTTCCAGAGTGCTGGGGATAATGGTTGAACTCTTGAGGCAGTGATGTGGCTGTAACACGGCATCTCTTCTGCCCATGATGTTGCTCAAGGTCCTGTATTCTACTCCCAGGACAGAGAGAGAGATGGGTGCTGGTGTCTATTGGCCACTTCCTGCTGATGCAGGGCTGTAGTCCAGAGTGACTGGAGAAGAAGATCAGTCTTGTGATGTTCCTGCGGGATGTCTTGGGATCTAGCAGTCACTGGTTCCTGTGAGCACTTTTGAAATGTGTAATTATATATCATAAGAATAAAGCACCGTGATTATGAGGAAAAAAGAAAGTAGAAAAAGTTACCCAGAGTGGCAAAGATGGCTAAGATGTGGCAAGGGTATTGTAATGCATTCTTACATTTCATTAGCATGCTTTTCAATGTGCTCAATAGCATCTCTCACAGCACCTGACTGACTGGTGTACAAGCCACACTCTTTTTTTTTTTTTTTTTTTTATGAGTGGACAGTGAAGAGAGAGAAACACAGAGAGAAGGTCTTCCTTTTCTATTGGTTCACCCCCCAATGGCCGCTGTGGCTGCACCACTGATCTGAAAACGGAGCCAGGTGGTTCCTCCTGGTCTCCATGCGGTGCAGGGCCAAAGCACTTGAGCCATCCTCCACTGCACTTCTGGGCCACAGCAGAGAGCTGGAATGAAGGGGAGCAACCGGGACAGAATCCGGCGCCCCACCGGACCAGAACCTGGTGTGCGGCGAGCAGGTGGAGGATTATCCTATTGAGCTATGGCGGCACTCGCCACAAGCCACACTCTTTACCCAGAGGCAAAGTCCTCCTTTTTGGAGGTGAGGACTCTAAATCCTCAGTGATTTGCAGGACCACTGCTGACAAGAATCTACCTGGTCTTGGAAGTGAGACAGGTGTGGTGCTGGGTCATTTATGTTTTTCTTTGAGAGTGAGACATAATTCTTTGTATTTCTTTGTCTTGTCTCCTGAAATTGCCAGTCTGGCTGCTCCTGGCCCAATCCCTGGCAAAAACACCCAACGAGAAAGAAGGGGTTGCTAAGTCCAAGTCACTCTTGACATGGGTGTTCGAGGTCTGGGACATCAAAGTCTGGTTGAGAGTATAGGAGAAAGGTGAAATAGGAACGTGAGCGGACACGTGCCTGTCCAGGTTCATGGGAAGACACTTGCACCACCTGATGCCACAGAGCAAGAACGCTTCTATGTATGGTCCACCCGCATGCTCACCAATGCATCCTTGGGCTGGGTCCTGACAGTGATGGTTCAGTTAGAGTGGGGAGTATTTGCCTTTGAGCTAATTTCGCTAACCTGTGGGAGGTAGGGGAAGGAAATGGAGGAAACAGGGGAGGCTGGGAGGTAATCGTCCAGTTGTAGAGTTTGTGGGCAGTGATCCTGCTTCATGGGAAAAGGGAAGGGAACACGTAGGATGCGTTTAAGGCTTGACCTCTCAGCGAAGCACAGAGAAAATGCCTTTGATAGGTATATAAGGTCGGTTGAATTCTTCCTGTTTGGGGGAAAGTACAGGGTATCCCTTCAGTCCTGTGCCTTTGTCCAGATTGGCTGGGAAGTGGGAGAAGCGTGTACAGATCCACCTTGAAGTGATAGTGGGGTTATGTTCAGAGAAGAGACGAGAGGAAGCATTGATGAGAGCTGTGTAGAGGCTTTGGGAAGATGTGAGAGATATATAGATTTGGGGACCACAAAAAGGGCAGCAGGTTAGAAGCAGCAGACCGTAGTAAGCATGCAACCCAGAAGAGATAAGAGTGCCGAGAGAGTCTTCTGCTATGGGTCCCATTCGGTTTGGCTGGTTTCTGACAAAGTCTAGGGCTAATATCACAACAAAAGATAGCAACGCGGATACAGTGCTTTAAAGTGAGAGATGTGAACAGAGGATAAAAAGGGTATCTGAGTAGAGTGAATTCCTAGAGATTGCCTGGAGCTGAGGGTCCAGGAGTTGGAAGAGTGGTCTGGCAGAGTTGGATAGCACTGCCTTACTTTTAGAATTACTTGGAGGAATCTGTCAAAGTGCAGTGGCTTGTGGAGATGGTTTTTGCAGTAGTGGGGGAGCCGCGTCCACCTGAGAGTTGTGGGACCTGTGGGGTAGGGTGTGCTGTAGAGGTGTTACTAATTGTAATGGAGTGAATGTACAGTGTGGGTGTCTCCCGAGTTTAGCAGTGGTGGTGGTACGTTGTGAGTGTTTGCTGTCACGCATTTCGACAGGGCTCAAGGGTGCCTTGTCGGAGCATAGGGAAGAAGGAACACACGGAGACGACACTGTCTTCCCAATGAAAGGCTTTTTTATTGCTCACTCCAATTCACACTAGGGCTTTCCCACTGCAAACCAATCTCTGTAGTTATGTTCATTACTCCACACATCATAACACACACCTGGCATCAAAGCAATCTCAAAGGCAGTCCAACTGTAATAATGTAAGTACAGCGAAGCAGAAGACATTCTTAATCATAGGGTCAAGGCACATTCCTTCCTATTACGTATGGCTAATATCATTATAAATGCTGCGTTCTTAAGGTTCCTATCACATTCCCAAGAAGTGAAAGTTCAAAGTCCAGAGTCCAGAGTCTCATTACCACTCGGAGAGAATGGATCTCAGAACAGTCACTTACAGGCATGAAGTAGTGGGATGGCTGTCACTCTGAGCAGAAGCCCGGAGTTCCCAGGGGAATGACAAGGTAAGGAGTTGGAGAGGTCCCCTGCTGAGAGGTCTGGTCCAGCTGTGTGGTCAGGTCAGGCAGCAGGCTGATAAGGGTCCAGGCGAGGCGGTGGCTCCACTGGAGTTGGTCCTGTAGTCGCCGTGTGTTGCTTAGCAAGGGGGCTAGTGAGCTGGCTCTTAAGCTCCATGTGCGAGGAGATCCAGAGGTTCACATGTACTGGGCCCTTGATCGGTTGTCATCTTGTGCCATTACAGATCCATGTGTAACGGGCTGCCTCTTCAGCTCTGAATGTGTGAAGATCCAGAGGTTCACAGACACCGGGACCATGATCCTTTTATCCTTGTCATTTTGAAGGGAGAGTCTCCAGGAGCGGTAGGGTGTCACCAATCAGTTGTGCTCCCTCTGGGAGTTTCCCGGGGTGCCACCAATCTGTTGTTTAGGACAGGGTGTATCTGCAGTATTCCTGGGGTGCAGCCAATCCCTGTGTGAGTAGGAAGGTAACTTGAGTTGTCGTCTGTAGCGTACATGTTATCAGACTGCCCAGGGATGTCTGTTCAGTCTGATGAGGAGCATCTTTCTGGCAAGCGCTGAGCTTGACATAAGTGATGTCATCAGCTTCTGGCTTAGCATAAGTGACTCCATTTTTATTTCCTATTTTTGCTTGTTTGTGGGCAGCAGTGAGCTATAACTCTTTTTTGGGCTACCAGTGGCTTTCTCCACAGTCCAGAGCCTTTTAATCATTGGGTGGGCAGTTATCTGTGACCTCATTTTTGGGAGTCCTGTGGGATTCTCCTCAGTGGTATCCATAGCACTTCATTAGAGTCTGTTGCATTTCTGGGTGAGTGCTTACCTCAGGGCCAGGCCAGTGCTAAGGGCTGTGCTGGTGTTTGCTGTGGGTGTTTTGCCCGAGTGAGGCAGAGGAGGTGGCAGGGCCTCTGGGGACAGCAAGCCCGGTGTTGGGGAGAGGAAGAGGAGGGATCTCTGCTGAAGGGTGGGAGCACTATGGAGGAAGCAGTCAGGCTGGGTAGGAACACTGGGCCAGAGAGTGGTGGTCTTGGGAGCTGGGCTGAAGGGAGTCCACCCAGCATGCTGGGAGTCTGAGCAGGGGTCAGCTGGCATTGAGTGCCAGTAGGACACTGGTCAGGTGTGTGTGAGTGGGGAGCAGGGCTTCACTTGGGAACCTTGGCTCAGAATCTTCCTCCTTCAGACCTCAGACTCTTTCCAGTCTCACCAGGACAGTCACTCCCCAGTCTCCACTGCGGTCTGTGTCTGCAGCCCACGGCAGGAGATTTGGGGGTCACCACCGAATAACTTGTGGGCCCTGGGTCACTAGGCTCAGTTCCTGTAGAGAGCAAGCCCCCAGCGGATCAGGAGCTGTGTCTCATGTGTGGACACTCAGGGCTGCTGCCTCCTGAGTCTCTTGCTGTTGTCCTGTGGGCCATTTGGCATCTGTAGTCTGGACGTGGAGGCATGAGGAATGACCTGAATGTGCAGGGTTTGTGGAGAGAATGACGGGAGGAACAGACTCAAGTTTTTGGTCTTCGTCCACCTGCTGTATTACTTAGGGAAGGACAAGTGTCGATATTAACCAAAGTACAGGGTGCACTTGGAGGAGCTAGGCCATGGAGGGAGCTGGCTGAGGAGGCAGGGCTGGGTGTGTAGGAGGGGCAGGGGGTGAGTGCCGGGTGTGCATCCTGTTGGCGATGCGTGACTTCCTCTCATAGGGTTCTCCCTGAAGGGCTGACAAGAACATGGCTGCGCTGCCCTTGCGCTCTGTGATTCTTCCATATCCTTTTGTTGTGTTGAGAACCCTGCATGGGAAATCTGCTGTCTGAGGCTTATCTGCATCTCTAGAATTTCTAAATCTTTTAAAAAAAGATTTATTTCTTATTTTGGAAGTCACAGTTCCAGAAAAGGGAGAGACAGAGAGAGCTATCTTCCATCTGTTGGTTTACTCCCAAGATGGTGGCAGTGGCTTCCCTGGTCCAAGCTGAAGCCAGATACTTCTGCCCAGTACCCTGTGTGTGTTGCAGGGGCACAGGTACTTGGGCCATCTTCCTCTGCTTTTTGCAGACCACTTGCAGGGAGCTGGATTGGAATTGGAGCAGCCAGGACAGGAACCAGTGCCCACATGGGATGTGAGGGTTTTCAGGCTGTGGCTTTATCCAGTGCACCACAACACGGGCCCCGTTTCCAGAACTTCTTCATCTCCCCGCCTCCTGCTTTTACTGGATCCTGGATGGAAGTCTTTCTTTGTTGTCCAAGACGACTGCCTCAGTCACGTGAGCACTGGTGTTGGTTGAGTGTCCCCAGTGTGCTTTCCGCGGTTGTTCTGACAGCACGAGAGGACGGATTGCATTTTTGATTCTCTGGGAAGATTATCCAGGGTGATCTCGTACCTGTGAAGGAGTGCAGTGAACCAAGGGTTAAGTCAGCAGGCATGTAGTGAATCCTCTTTGTGCTATGGTCATCTTTAGAACGTTTTTGGGGAAAAAATGACCTGATCCTCGGCAGGATCCAGTATTCTTAAACTGCTTACATATATAGAAATGAAGTGAGTTTTCATCTCTGTAATGGGGAACCTGTTTATAAAGGGGGCATGTATTTTTATATAAATAGATTTGAAAGTGCCCAAGTTAAGCATTGTGTATTTGTGTGCAGTTAATTTTAGAATATATGTTGCAACTTATATGGTTAACATTCCCATAGATGGGGCCTGCACTGTGGCTCAGAGGGTTAAAGCCCTGGGCTGCAGTGCCTGCATCCCATATGGGTGCTGCACTTCGAGTCCAGCTCCCTGCTAACGTGCCTGGGACAGGCAGCCGAGGATGGCAGAAGTCGTTGGGCCCCTGCAACCGTGTGGGAAAGGAAGCAAACAGGTGTTGTATCAGGTGTGGCCTGCAGGTGCTGGGATAGTGACATCTGGGGACATCTCCGCACTGGCATGGGTCTTCCGTGCATCCTGGAGACTCCTGTCCAGGCCTTGGGGCCTGCGGATCGTTCGCCACTGTCACTTCTGCTCCAGCCTCATTTCTCTGCCTACTGAGCCTTGATGTCTCACGGTGTGGCTCCCTGACTGGAGGGCACACCTTTGGATCTTCCGGATGGCAGCCTGAGAGGGGCTGAGCTATTTTGCATCCTGGGAGGTGTCTCTGTCCAGGCTCCCTGCTCCTTGGCTGCACAGCCTGCCTGCTGGGGGCCCCCTTCTGCTTCTCCCTGGACAGCCTGACCTGCTCTCCTCCTGGCTCTTACTGCCCAGCCCCCTACCCCAGGATACCTTCCCATGCCCCACGGGTGCCACCTGATCCTGGGTCTCACCCCACAGTGTGGTTCTCCTGTGGTATCCCATCGTGGGACAGACTCTGCAGCTGTGGTGGAGGCCCTGAATCAGTGACTGTGGCAGTGTAAAGGGAGATGATGTGTGTGACACTGAGTGAGGCAGAATCCAGTGTATAGTTATAGAGAGGCAGAGGCAGAGAGAGAGAAGTCTTCCAACCACTGGTTCAGTCCTCAGATAGCTCCAACAACTGGAGCTGGGTCGATTGGAAGCCAGGAACCAGGAGCTTCCTCTGTGTCTCCCATGCAGGTGCAGGGGCACAAGGACTTGAGCCATCTTCTGCTTTCCCAGAGAGCTGGATTGGAGTGGAGCAGCTAGGGCTTGAACTGGTGCCCATAAGGGATGGTGGCACTGCAGGCAGTGGTGCAGGTTGCTGGATTTGTTTTTAAAAGCTTTGTTGCAGGAGGGGTTTGTGGCACAGGAGGTCAAATGGCTAGCTTGGATGCCTGTATCCCCCATGAGGGTGCTGGGTTTGGCTGCCAGTATTCTGCTTCCAATCCAGCTTCCCACTGACGTGTCTCTGGGGGGCACAGGCAGTGGCTTGAGCACTTGGGTCCCTGCCACCAATGAGAGCTCCGCCTCTCTTTCTGCTTTTCAAGTCAAATGAAAATTGATGAAAAAAATTTAAAAAACAGTTTCTTTGTCCACTGAGTAAAGATTGTCCATGGGGCCCTGGTTCCTAGGTATGGAGATTGTGTCTCCTTAAGGGACACTGTGGTTGGCCCAACCGGGAGGTGCTCCTGGCTTGGGTCAGGTGGTTGCCAGAGATGCTGCCCCACACCCTGCAGTGCCCATAGTGCCGTAGAGCAAGAGCAATCTGGGTCCAGTGCCTAGGGGAGAGCCTCTAGGTCTGGGGTACAGGAGAGGATCCAGGAGATTAATGAGGAGCTGGAGAGACAGGGTGTGATCTGGACTCTGCTGTGAGAAGTGACGTGGCTTTATGTGGATTCCCTGTCCCATGCCTCAATTTCCCTGCTACAAAATGGGCATAGTAGCCCCCTCCTCGTTTTTTTCAGGATTGCAGAAGGTGATTCTGTCATATCCTGATACCTGCGCCTCTGCACCTGCATCCTATAGTTGCGCGCCCACCGTTACAGAGTGTCAGTGCGTGAGGACAGGGAACTGGGGCGGGATCTCCCTTCCCAGCATCCCTAGAACTTCACCAAGGTCATCTTATGTGGGTCCTTGGTTTTTAGGGCTTAGAATTGCATGATTTCAGACCTGAGTGTAACCTGAGCTTGTGGGGAATCACAGGGTTAGGACTGGTCCTGTCCATGGTGTGATCACCCTGGACTTTCATCTTTGTTGGTTGGCCATGCAGGAAGTGAGCAGAGGGGTGGAAAGCCCTTGCTCCCCACCTCTACCTCCTCTGTCCCCCGAGTTCACTGGGCTTGTTCCTGTGGGGAAGCAAACGCCACACTGCAGGGCTGTGTCTGCCTTCTTAGGGAGATACACAGGGCATCAGCCTTGTCCTCTCCCGCGCAGCAGAAGCACAGAGACTCCTGCTCCATCAGCTGTGACTCACACTAGTCCATCCCTGCCCACTGCCCTCGTCCCTGCCTCCCGGCCTCTGACAACTGCCGTTGTGCCCTGAGCCTCCAGGATATCACCACTTTGCAGATTCCACGTGTGAGTGAGGTCATGTGGTGTTTGTCTTTCTGTGCTTGGTTGATTTCACTTAACCCAGTGATTTCCAGATCCTCCCATGGTACCACAAATGACAAGATTTCAACCTTTTTTATAGCCGAGTAGTATTCCTATGTGTACACGTGCCCCTTTTTTTCTTTTTCCATCCATGGTGGATGGATGTGTAGGTTGTTTGCATTCCTTAGCTACTGGGAACAGGACTGCAGTAAAATTAATTAATTAATTACCTTTCCATTGGTTACCTCACGGTGTGGCAGAACATTTGACATTGCTCTTCACAGTGAACTGTGCTCTGTACCCGTCCACCATCCTCCCTCCACTCCCCCCTCCCCTTTCCAACCTTTGGTAAACTCTGTTCTTTTTGCCTACTTCTGTGAGATCAACGTTT